TCAGTTGAGGGTTAGGGCATCTGATGTCCCTAAGACAGCTTTTCGGACTCGGTATGGGTATTATGAGTTTCTAGTGATGTCATTTGGTATGACAAATGCCCCAGCAGCATTTATGGATTTGATAAACCGGGTGTTCAAGACTTACCTGGATTTCTTTGTAATTGTGTTTATTGATAATATCCTTATCTACTCCCGCAGCCGAGAGGAGCATGAGCAGCATCTTCGGATCGTACTTCAAATGCTGAGAGACAACTGTTGTATGCTATGTTTTCAAAATGCGAGTTCTAGTTGAACTCAGTCGCTTTCTTGGAGCACGTTGTTTCAGTAGAGGGTAGTCAGATGGATCCTAAGAAGATTGAGGCCATTCATAATTGGCTTAGGCCTACTTCAACCACTGAGATCTCTAGTTTCTTGGGATTGGCAGATTATTACTGTCGATTTGTGGAGGGGTTTTCATTCATAGCAGCCCAATTGACCAGGTTGACTCAGAAGGGTGCCTCGTTCAGATAGCCAGACGAGTATGAGGCGATCTTTCAAAAGCTTAAGACAGTTTTGACTATGGCACCAGTGTTGGTGTTGCCCACAGGTTCAAGGCCTTATACAGTATATTGTGGCGCATCTCGTATTGGACTTGGTGCAATATTGATACAGGGTGGCAAGGTTATTGCATATGCTTCACGACAGCTGAAGGTTCATAAGAAGAATTATCATGTTCATGAGTTGGAGCTGGCAGCCATTGTTCACGCGCTGAAGATTTGGAGGAACTATCTTTATAGCGTGTCGTGTGAGGTGTTCACGGATCATCGGAAGTTTGCAGTATTTGTTCAAGAAAAATGAGCTCAATTTGAGGCAGAGGAGGTGGTTAGAGTTATTGAAAGACTATGATACCACCATCTTGTAACATCCCGGGAAGGCCAATGCGGTGGCCGATGCTTTGAGTAGGAAGTCAGCTAGTACGGGCAGCCTTGCGTACATTCCAATCGGTAAGAGACCGATTGCATTAGATGTTCAAGCCTTAGCCAATCAGTTCATGAGGTTGGATGTTTCTGAGCCTAGTCATGTCTAAGCTTGCATAGTCTCTCGGTCTTCTTTATTTGAGCGCATCAAGGAGCGGCAGTATGATGACCATCATTTGCTTGTCCTTAGGGACACAGTGCATCACGGTGATTCCAAGAAGGTTACAGTTGGAGAATATGGAGTTTTGAGGATGCAGGGTTGTGTTTGTGTGCCTAACGTGGATGGACTTCATGAGTGGATTCTAGAGGAGGCCCACAGTTCCCTGTATTGTATTCTTCTAGGCACCGCCAAAATGTATCAAGACTTGTGCCAACATTATTGGTGGAGGAGGATGAAGAAGGATATAGTTGCATAAGTAGCTCAGTGTCTAAATTGTCAGCAAGCACATGCAACAACCCGACCGGTCATTTTGAGCTCTAGCGCGTCGTTCAGCGGTATGCTCTAGCGCATGGTCGGAATAGAATTCCGGGAAGTTCGGAGTTGAATTGGAGAGAGAATTCTCATTTCGGAAGCTTTAAGTTGAAAGAATTGACTAAGATTGGATTTTTGAGTTAATGACCTCGAAATCGGGATTCGAAGGTTCTAGCAGGTTCGTATAATGATTTCGTACTTGGGCGTATGTGGAAGATCCGGGTACGTTTCAGCACCTATTGTGGAAGCTAGCATTTTTGGAAGAAATTCATAAGTTTGGGTTGAAGTGCATTTCAGTGTTATCGATGTCCGTTTGGGATTTTGAGTCTCGGAATAGCTCTGTATGGTGATTCTGGTATTGGGAGCGCGATATGAAGTGAATTCAGAGGTCCGTGGGTCATTTTGGAGTCATTTGGCTAAAGTTGGAAATTTGAAGGTTTTTGAGAAGTTTGACCAGAAGTGGACTTTTTGATATCGGGGTCGGATTCCAATTCCTAAAGTTGGAGTAGGTACGTAATGTCGAATATAACTTTTGTGCAAAATTTGAGGTCAATCGGACATGATTTATTAGGTTTAAACATCGAAAGTAGAAGTTTGAAATTTTAAAGTTCATTAAGCTTGAATTGGAGTGCAATTCATGGTTTTAGCATTGTTTGACATAATTTGAGGCTTCGAGCAGGTCCGTATTATGTTATGGGACTGAATTGTGTGATTGGACGGGGTGCCGGGGGCCTCGGGTGTGTTTCGAGTTGTATTGCGCTCTTATTTGAAGTTTCAACGTCGTTTCTTTGGGAATAAAGGGTAACATATTAAGCAAATGAGCTCCAAAATCAGTTTTTATTAAACCATTATATATGTATCATAATTACGGAGTCATAGTAGAAAGAATCATCAAATTTGGACATCGTATGAGGAAGTTATGCTCATTTTTGTGTCGAGAAAAAACTATTGGTTCTGGTGTGGTCGCAATTGCGAACATTTCCATCGCAATTGCTATACCTAATTCGCAATTGCAAACTTTTTGTCGCAAATGCGACCTTTTCCAGCCCTTCCTTGTTTGCAATTGCGAAGGCTTTCTTTGCTTTTGCGAGGGTTCGCAACTGCGAATCCTGGATCGTAAATGCGACATCTACAGCTTGTTTTCAGCTATGTAACTTGGGTTTTTGCTTCATTTTATCATATTTTGAACCATAGGTCCGAAAGTGGGCGATTTTGAGAGAGGAATTTCGTATAAAATCATTGGGTAAGTGCCTCTAACCATTTTTTAATTATATTTTGTGATTATACCTTAGATTTAACATCAAAATTCATGAGAATCTAAAGGAAACTTTGAGGTTTTAAAGAAAAACCTAGAAATTGAGATTTTTTGGATTTTCACCACGATTATGGGCATGGAATTGACAATAAATTATATATTTGAGTTCGTGAGTTCATGGGTAAACTTTATTTTCGAAAAATTTCGGAATCTGGGCACGTGGGCCAGAGGGTAATTTTGTCAACTTCTCAACCGGGGTTAGGAAATGTTATAAATTGGACTATAATGAGTAATTGAACATATATTAATGGGTTTACATAATTATTGGCTAGTTTTTGAGCATTTTACACTGATTTGAGTCTTCGGAAGGGCGTGGAATGCCGGTTATGGAACTTCGGAACGGGGTGAGTCTCCTTTCTAACCTTGTACGAGGGAATTGACCCTATAGGTGAACCAAATTAATATGTGCCTCTATTTGTGGGGGCTACATACGCAAGAGATGATGAGAGTCCATACGTAGCTACTAGCTATGCTTATGTCCAGGTAGTTTTAGGTTTACACCATGCCTTGTTGATATTATTGTTGATTTATGTTTATTGTTTGTGTTTAGAAGAAGCAAGATTGAGTTTGCTTAGTAACTCTCTTGAAAAGAGTTGGAATTGAGGAATTTGAGATCTTAAAAGTTTTTATTTGAACTTCGTATTTTTGAAATGAATTGAAGGAATATTATAATAGCTTAAGAAATCTATGTGTAACCGCGTCGCATGTATGTTTCGCAAGCGGGGTAATTTCCTTAAAAAGCTACAAGCTAAATTTTCCTTATTTTGAAAAGAATCAAGAAAGAGATATGATTTTAATGTTAAATTTATCTTTGACCGCGTCGCAAATATGATCTGCGAGCGGGGTGATTCCTTAAAATTATATTTTATCGCGTCACACGTATGATTCGCGAGCAGAGTATTTCCTTCTACTACTCTTATAGGATCAGGCTGTTCGCCTCGGTAGGATTTATGTACCACACTCTCATGGGAGCAGGTCGTTCGCCTTGGTAGGTTAATAGATGCAGCTATGATTCGCGGCGTTCGACCCACGGCAATGCACATTTTACTTTTATGTTGGATCAGGTCGTACGCCTTGGCATTTCCTACATATATATATATATATATCATTCTTATGGTACTCGTGCTTAATATTTGGCTAGCAGCCAATGTACCTGAGGATCTTTCCCTGATTTGAAATTGTAACAACCATATTATGAAAGCCACTATACCTTTATGTATATGTTTCGGTTACGGAGGGAACATTCTAGTTGAGAGCTTGAGTATAGTCGTAAAGAAGGGAATTGTTTCACGTATTTTATACATGTTTGTTTAATATGTCTACTCTGCTTCATATTTATTCACTTCTTTACTGTATTTGATATCATTGGACCACTAGTAAGTGTCGAAGTCGACCTCTCGTCATTACCTCTTCGAGGTTAGGCGAGATACTTACTGGGTACACGTTATTTTTGTACTCGTACTACACTTGATGTGCATTTTTGTTTCTAACGTTGGCTTACCTAACAAGTGTGATGTTAGGCGTCATCACGGTCCCGATGGTGGGGATTCGGGGTCATGACATTTGGAAAATTAAAAGCGATTATTTTCAACAAACAAAAAGATACTTAATTTTATAATTTTGTTGCAATAAGATTTAGTAGAATGAAACCCCGTGAAATAAATCCTACATTTCACGGGCTAACATTTTGAACTATTCATGTCAATACAAGTTATAAAAGGCTAGGACTCCTTTGTAAAGTAAATAATAGTTATTATTGTTTAAAGATCATGCTTATATTCATAAATGATTTATTCATAATGTACGAAATCCAGTTAGTCCTCATACATATAATAAACTAATTAATCTTTTCCTGTCAAAATAAGTTACAAAAGGGTAAGACTATTTTGTAAAGTTATAATTATTACATTAATTTATAGATTTCTATATTGGTTAATGATTAATCAGCAAATACGAAATCCAGTCAATCCTCCTAGATATAGTATTAATCTTATTAATCTTTTCCTGTCAAAACAAGTACAAAAGGCTAAGACTCCTTTGTAAAATAATTAATAAATACAATTGTTATAGATCATTGTTATATTCATATATGGTTAGTGATCAAACGCCAAATCCAGATAATCCTCATACATATAGTAATCTAATTAATATAAAGTAATCTACCAAAAATGCAGTGATCTTATTGACAGAGAAACAAGTATAAAATGGAATGCCAAATCAAGAGTTCTTGATCAATTGTAACCCTTTGAAGCAAAACTTGAAAATGGTAAAGTTCCTCACTTCACTTTTCTATGTTGTCCTCTTCGTTGCTATTGCATCAGGTCCCAACTCGATCAATATCTTGGCTTTACAATAATTACAATGATTAATTATGTTTTTCTTGCTAATTGTAGTATTTTGATTTTATTGTGAATGCAGATGAGAGAATTGTTCCAATGGTATATGGAAAGGTATGCGTAGTTGATATTGGTTTTAACATTTGCAGCACTCTTAATGATCGATGTAAGAAGCTATGCATTCAAGCAACTTTCTCGTATGTTCACGTAGCAACGTGTCAAATACGAAGCGATGGTTCTACATTTTGCGAATGTGCATATGATTGCGACGATGACAAACACATACATCAAGAAAAGATGAAGATGTCATCACCTGCACCTGCACCTGCACCTGCACCTTATTGATGTTTCGATTTGGATTTGTTCGAGACTGAAACGTAATTGATGTTGTACGGAAAAATTGGCTAAATTTTCAACAACCACCTTGATTTACATGCTCTATGTATAATTGGAATTTAATTTCCGTACAATTCACTATACAAGCCTTTGTTCTCAAAATAGATTATTCTCATTTTTCCTCTTGAATTTAAGATCGAAATGGTTGTCCTTTAACTATTGATTCCTTACCGGTTTAATGTTGTTCGATTTTAATTTTCTTCTTTTATGTAGAAAATCCCAACGGCTAAATCCTAATTTATAGTAACTAGAAATTTTATGTTTAAAGTTCGAAAGCGGAAGAAGAGAGATGCCGGATTTAAAACTTAGGGTGTGTTTGGGATAACGAAAAATGTTTTCCGTAAAAAAAGTTTTTTAAGAAAATATTTTTTTGGAAAATAAGTAGTAATGTTATTCATTTTCTGGTATTTGACACGCAAATTAAGGAAAATGACTTCTCAAGAGTATTCATAAATAATTTAGATATAATAAACATGAAGCCATAAAATTTCAAACCAACAACCTTCCAAATCCACAAATTCATAAAACATTCGAACCGCTAAACTTTCAAAACAACGGAATTTCGAACCCGTAAACTTCCAAATNGGTAGAGAGGCTGTTTCCAGGAGACCCTCGGCTCAAAAAAGCAACAGGAGCCGATATATTAGTACTATAAAAATGCATAATAAAATAATAGTAATATAAGAGATATGAAATACAAAATACGTAATACGAAATACGAAATAGATGACTGGTATAGTAAAACTAGCAGGTAAAGCCCTGCATCAATAGACGACCAATGACATTCTTAGTCTAACTCCTAACTGGCTAGTCTCACTCTATTGTGCTATAGGAATATTCAAAAGTTTCCCATAACCTACAACCTTAATGTTCGACCTCCATAATTTCCTGTCAAGGGCCATGTCCTCTGTAATCCTAAGTCGCGCCATGTCCTGTCTAATCACCTCTCCCCAATACTTCTTAGGTTGCACTCTACCTCTCCGCGTGCTCACTACAGCCAGTCGCTCACACCTCCTCACTGGTGCATCAGTGC